TGTGAAATCTTCATTATTGAATCTCTTCAATGTCCTCTTTTTCTTCTCAGTCTTAATACCTTTGCTAGTAGAGAGCACTGCGCTATTAACTGACATTTTGAAACTATTCACAGTAGCCATGGCTGGAGGAGCAACTGATGAATTTCCAGAGAGTGCTTGCCTAAGACGTTGTGCTTCTGATTGGTCACTATTATTTGATGGCTGATTTTGCCGATGAGGTAATGGGTTCAAAGGTCCTTTGTTTGAATTCAGTGAAAGAATATTAAATGCATTAATAAATGATTGAGCAGAGTCAATAGTGGGTTGAGCACTTTCTGGAGAAATTTCATTTCGTTGGGTTCCGTCTTGATTTGCCTTGTATCGATCAGAAAGCATGAAACTTCCACTCTCGGTAATTTTTGGTTGAACAATATTCCGAACGGATTCTCTGACATCTTTTTCTGCCTTGACTAGTGTGGGCTTTTCCTCTTCATTCTGAGCGGTCAAGTTTAACAGTAGATTGCCCACCATGTGTTTTTTCTTATCCTTCTTGGGTTTTTTAGACTTGGTCGTATCAGACGCTTTTTTGGGAGTGGTGTTTTTGTCCTCATGTGCCATAATAGGTGAGCTTACTGAAATACTTTTGACTGAACGTTGGGATGGAGAGTTTGGAAAGTCGAAAATGCTGTCACTTTGAATTCCCTCATCGTCCATCAATACTGATGATTCAGATGGAATTCCCACAGGAAGATCAAAAATATCGTCTCCTTGTAAGCCAGAAACGTTGTTGGGATTAAAAGAGAATGGATCCTCTTCAGAAGTCATAATACTCGTAGGAAATGATTCTGATCTAGGTATGGAAGTGGTGTCGATTGTGGTCATTGAAGGGGTACTGCTGCATCTAATAAATTCAATGATTGCTGTTGGTCTCATGCCATCATTTGAAATATTAGAGCATGAGGACGTGTTCGAAAGTGTAGAAGATGAGCGATTTCTCGATGGCTTTGATGTGTGATCTTCCTTTTCAATGCTTTGCTCTTCTTGCTTTGGAACAGCAAAAAAGTCATCGTCCTGTACGACATGTCTCTTGTTTGGAGTGATTGGCTCGTCATACATGTTGTAAATGCAAGTGTCCATTTTGTTGTTGTTGCTCTTATTTCGAGTCGAAAGGAAAATATCCTCTTCACAACTACTGGATTTAAATGCTGGATCGAAAATAATTTCATTTGTGGCCATGTCAGTCTCTTCACCAGACAGAGCCATGCCAGGCACAGCTCGACTCTTCTCCATCTTTTTCATACGTTGTTCTCTATGCTTGTTTCTCTCTCTTTTTTTATGCTTGTTAAACTTTGATTTTTTGTAGTATTAGGGTATTTTCTTCTGTTTTTCTATTATTACCATATTGTTTCTTGTTATAATGTGAAGATGTTCCTCCATAGCTTTTGGTCCTTCGAGAAATATTCTTGGGAGCTTTTTGAGTATTATTTTCTGTTAGATGTACTTTGTTGGAATCTGAAATTTGTCTTGGGCTCTTTCGATTGAAACGAAGGATTATAGGAACAGGTGGAGATGATGAGGTAGATCCATGTTTAACAAATACACGATTACTACTTGACTCTTCCTCAATGTCCTCAAAGTCTTCATCCTCATGTGTCATATCAACGTTGTTTTTAGAATGTTTCTTATTCTTTGTATGACTTCGTTTTGAGAACATGTTGTTTGAGTTGGAAGATCTTTTTGAATTTAAGGCCATTTGATTATTTCTCAATTTTTGCATTTGTTGTTGCATCATGAATTGGAAGAGAGGGGAGCATGAAGAGGGAGGTGTGCAAGAAGTGCTTACTTTAGAGCTCCCTTCAATTCCAATCGGATTTGATGATGAATTCATCGGAACCCCAATCTCTTCATCTTCATAATCATCATCACTGTCACCACCAACGAGTGGTGCGGTTTGTACTTTCTCCAGGAATGCTCCACAATGAATCATTCATAATGATGGAAGCTCGTTTGTCACGGTTGCATTCGTCAACAGATTTTAAACGTGGACCAGCAATATTTGGAATGCTAAACAAATCGTCACTGGGTACAAAATTTGCTGTGTCTGACATGGTTTTTGTATGTATTTTGTCATGGCCGCTTTTCTTGCCATGATGCCGCCGGTAATGATGTTTTTCATTGTTACTTCCTCGTGACTTTTTCTGATGATTTTGGGAAGGATTTGTTGTCATATTGGTGTCTGGTCTCTCTATTGAAAACATATTGCGTTGACTTGAAAAGTTGTGACGTAATGATTCTTCGGGTTCTTCAGAAACAACAACTGGTCCAAATACATCTGCAAATCCAATATCCGAATGTTGATGATGATTAATTTGGATTGTTTTTCCAGACGCTGATGATGATTTATGGTGGGGTGTGCGAACCATTTTCGTTTCGTATTATTTACAAAATTGGTCTAACTCAAAAGTGATGATGAATATTGATGATGTTGTTTTTGTGTCCGAGTCTACAGGCCTTCACTCCAGCAACATGTACGTATGGAAGGGCAACAAAGAACCCAGTATTGTGTGCACAAACACAAACCGTGTTGCAAACTGGAGTTTGAACTGGGACAGAAAAGACCAGTCAATGAAATTGGATGTTGGAAGAATAAAGAAAATTTTTTTTGGTGATGTAAGCAGCAAAGGGAACTTGGAAGAGAGTCAAATCATGAAGCGATTTATTGTACAGCAAGAGCAACAGCTAGGCTCGATCGATCATCGACCTCAACAGTTTAGAGAGAGCTCTTGAGTTTGTCCAAAATGTTCTTCTCGCAAATATCACCCAATGAGGTGCCCTCAATGTTGACCATGGAGCAATTGAATTTGCTGAAGAGAGATTGCTTGGTAGAACTCATCAACATCTTGGCTCTTGGCTTGGTCTTGGATGGAACCCAGTGAAGGAACACAAGCTTGGAGATTTGTCTTTCTACGCCTTGGTCCTCCTTGGTCATTTCCAAATTATATACGGCCCAACATCCTTTATCACTGAATTCTGCCTCAACAACTGAACTCAAGAAGCCATCCCATGTATCGGCTTCCCCTCCCTTTTCGACTTGTTTAGCGACCTCCACACGATCACCCTTATCATTGATAGTAAATAGAATACATCTCAAATTGCTGTTCTTTGAGTGGAAGGTCTTGAATTCCTTAATACATTGATCATCAACGACTACTCCTGCGTCCATATTGAAGTCTAAGGCTAATGGTTAGGTGTAAGGGCAAATTCAACAAATGAGGGTGGATTTTTTTTTTGTTGGTACAACAGAGTTTCAAGTGGTTTACAACGACTTGACGCTAGTAAAACAGCTCATCAAGCTGTAATCCTCTTTACGCCGTGGTGGAAAAACACTGCTTCAATTGACAAAAATCAGAGTTCTTTGATTCGGTATTTAATGTCAGAGGAACTCCTCGAAACGAATTTGCTCACGACTGACACGATTCTGTTCTCTCACAGTCACCCGCATTGAAACAGTGAGTTCTTAATGTTTACGTCTCAACAACATTGTTTTGTCTGTTAAAGAGCAAGTCGAAGTCAAACCAACGCTTTCATTTTGCACGTTTCACAGATGTTTTTTTTAGCGACATCTTTGGGTCTCATCTGCAATACTTCACATGTCAACGTTGATGTTCAGTGACCCGCAACAATTTTTGCGAATTGCTCATAACCAACAACAAAATCACATTGAAAAAATACAAATTTCATAATCGCAATACAAGAGAGGAGACTGGAGATAGAGAGCTTATTTTAACATCATTGTTCATCAATATACTCGTCTCACTACAACGTCACTACAACACCATCACAACAAAATTTGACAACTCGCAATCATGATGCGACACGCCAAGTCGTCATCCCCAACTGCAGTCGGTGTTGTTGTTGGTGCAC